ATGTTGTAGGCCGAGCTAGCATCCACGACCAAGAAGCGCACCATCTTCACCTTTCTCAAAGGCGACCTCCCTAATGCCACAGTCAAACTAACTTCACCTACGGGGCGGACCTCACTACCGCTGAAGCCATAGAGGGCAATGTGGACCGGCTCGACCTTCACGTCTAACTCCATCTGCTGTAAACACTTCAGGAAAATGATATCCGCCGAGCTCCCCGTGTCTATGAGTACCCTCTGCACGTCATAACTAGCCACCTCCGCGGTGATAACCAAAGCATCATTGTGTGGGACGACAAGCCCCTGCACGTCGTCAGCTCCAAACTTTAAAGTGGCCAAGCTCCTTTGCACCTGTACCTCAGCCACCTCATTAGCCACACTCTTACCCCGGTAAGTCCTCTTCTTCTCTCTGTGTGAGTCTCCATCGGTAGGACCTCCCGCGATCATGTGTATGACACCTTTCTTCACCGGTCTGTCAGGCTGCTCATCGGTCCTCCGCCGCTTGTCACCCAACTCTCGCCCTTCCCGGCGATCATCTTGGCGCTCCCTATCCTTGATCACGAATTCTTTTAAGTGACCGGCCCTGATGAGCCGCTCAATTTCATCTTTCAATTCCCGGCAAAAATTGGTAGAGTGGCCATAATCACGGTGATACCGACAATACCTATCCTTCGATGCCGAAAACTTCCGTGGTGGGGGCAGAGGCTTAGGTTGTGCGAGCAATTTGTCCTCCCCTCGCTTCTCCATCGTCTCCAAGATCTCTTGTTGTGGTGCATTAAGTTGTCTGTAATGCTCGTACCTCGGACCCCTGAACCGATCCTCCCCCCTAGACTCCTTGGGGGCGGGTCGTCGGTCACTCTGTCGAGGCTTCTCTTCTACCTGCTTATTCTTTGCCTTGTCATGCCGAAGAAAGTCCGCCTCCGATTCCTCCATGTTCACGTATTTGCTACACCTCTCAAGTAGCTCATCAAAGGACCTCGCCGGCCTCTTTGCCAAGAAATCTCTGCACTTCCCAGGCCTCAATCCCCGCGTAAGGCCTCCAGCTTTTATCTCCTCCGAGGCCGAGGGGACTTCCACGCATTCCTTAGTGTACCGTGCTACATACTGTCGCAAGGTCTCCCCTTCCTTCTGCTGCATATTGATCAACGAGAGGTACGTCTTCTCATGTTTCCTGGCACTCGCAAACTGATTCAGAAACAAAGAGCTGAACTTTTCAAAGCAATCGATAGATCCCGCCGGCAACTGGTGGAACCAATCTTGTGCCGACCCCTTCAAAGTTGTCAAAAAGGCCCGACAGCTCACGGCATCACTATACCTGTGCAGCACGGCTATGTTGTCAAACGATCTCAAGTGCCTAGCTGGGTCCGCCGATCCATCATATGACAAACTCAACTCCCTGAAGTTGCTAGGCAAGTCTCCTCCTAAGACATCCTCTGCAAAGGGGTGTCCCCGCGAAACTACAGGTCTCTTACCCTGCACCCGAGCTTGGAGTTCCCGCATCTGAGCCGCCAACCTCTCCAAAGTTAACCTTTCCGGTTGCTCCGTCGCCATCGGGCGAGAGGTCATTGACCTAGCATCTTCCTCGTCACCCCTCTCCACGCGCTGGGGCTGCTGTTGCAAGGGGGTTTGTTGTTGAGGTGTTAGAGGCGGTCGCGGCGGAGGTTGTTTAAACGTCTCATTAGGGGCTCTCTTATCCACCTCTTGAGCCCGGCCTATTGCCTCCGCAATGATCCTATCCAACTCCGACCTGGTCATCTGGATAACTGGGTCTTCCCGTGGTGTCGAAGAAACATTATCCCCCGGAGGGTTTTGTACTCCCACACGACCAACTGCCTACTCCCAAGGGCACCATTCTGATCACCCGCACCCCCGGATCCTAAAACACCTTGATTTGCCCCGCCATCAACCGTGGTACCAGCCTCCTTCGCTTTGTCCGCCACACCACCAGATCCTCCCGAGTTCGCCGCGCGCCTCTGAGCCTCT